TGGTAGGCTGAGCCTACTAGCTCTAGCTGCCATGTGGCTCTCTAGTGCATTATGATCAGATCAAACATGTGAATTAATGTGGGGTTTACAGTTTTCACACGCGCCTTCTGTGCTTTATTCAATTGTTATTTATGAATGGATCAGGACTACATTTAGTAGTAGCTGATATGGTCCTGCAACTCTGTAGGACCTTTTTAGGTTGGATTCCAACCTAAAAGTAGGATCATTTGCCAAAGTAATGGCTGCAATATAATCTTTCTCAAAATTGGGTTGTCTATCAATTTTCCACAGTCATGTTGGGTGTTGAGGATAACCTTCCTTCTGCACATAACATCCAGGATTCAAATCGACATTGACAGAGGAGAAGAGTAAAGTCATTGTTGAGCATTATTTTTTGGGTCGAGTTTTTATGCGGTGACCGGTGAGAGCGATCCAACCGCATATCTGTGAATCACATGCGACCCTCAGCATTTACGCTTAAATAAATTATTTTCGAGGTATGTATATTGCGTTATTGAACCACACATAGCAATAAGTGTGGATAAGTCTTTTATATCTATCTATAGGGACAACTTATATATTTAATATGTTTGTTTTAATTAAATTAAGATATATTAATTTTTATAAATTATTTATTTTATATTAAGATGTTGAATGACGATAAATACTCACTTTGGAAAAAGTCTAGCAAGTGCTCATAGATATAGAAAAATACATATTAAACAACTGGATTAGTTAGTTCAAAATTGATTCAGGAATTAATAGTCAAAATTATATTGAATGTGTGATCAAGCTAGTTATAAACAAAACATTTAATTAATTAAATTAGTGTAAGACCCATTAATTCAATGGTTTCATTGGTTCCAATAAGTGCGTTAACCCAAACTCTCATATTTTTTTATGATCTAATCTCCGTTTTATTAATTTGATTTCGGTGGTTTACATTTAAAATTTTTCATAGATAATATTTAACAAATAATAAAATTTCTATTTCAAAGTGCCGGTTGGATGGTTATCCTTGTTTTAGATTATGTATCTGTTAAGATAAGAAAACATTAATACACTCCTAAAAAACAACTCCTCAAAAGTGGATTGTGTAAATTTGATCGAAAACGTACGACCAAATTTCTGACTTGCATCCCATGCTAATCGGTTTTGAGGGCATAGGATTCAAGTTCGACACGACTTCCGTCAAGGGATGCAATTTAATTTAAAATTAATAATTCCACAATAATAATTTGACAAATATAATTTTAATTGGCACCCTCCGGCTCTCTTCTATGCGATTTTAATGTTTTGGAATCCTTTAAAAACTGATTGTCAATACGATTAAAAACATTTATTTTACAAAAATTTAAAAAATAAATTAGGATATTCTTTCATAAAAAATTACTCCATCCGATCCCTATTATATAGGGCATCTTTAAAAAGATTCTTCTGTCCTTCATATAAGGTATTTGTAGAGGGTATTAATGACAATTTTTTAATATTACTCATATTTAAATTTATTAATTATAACAAAGAATGAAATATAAGTTTTAATAATTTTTTAATTTAAATAGGAGTGAAATTAAAAGTTTATTTTATTTTTAAACAAATTAATGATTTAACCTCCTACTCTTGTTCTAGTAAAATAGTTTAAAATGTCTTATAATAGAGTTAATAAATATATTTAATCCTCCTAACCGATTGCTCAAATAGTATATCATGAGCCATAAGCTCCTAAACTGTTACAAAAAAAAATTTCCTTCAACTTTTAAATTTCAAGAGCCTGAAAACCTTGCTGTTAATGGCCATTACTCAATGTGGGGCCCAATCGCCCACTAATATGGCAATCATCTTGACTCTCCAACTTAACAGGGATTTTCACATTATTTTCACATTTTTAGGAGTTAAGGTTTAAAAGTGAATGGAAATTTTTTTACATTTTAAGAGTATAAAATCTAGAATATTATTTGCATAATAAATTTAAGATATAGGATGTTCATTGACTCCTTATAATAAGAACTCAAGGGGAGTATATTGAGTTTAGGGTTAATTGTTTTCAATGTCGTACTTTAAGAAAATAACCATCTTAAAACTTATGAAACAATTATTTGGCTCATACATGAGACTGTAAAGAATATGTTCTGCAATTGTAATCCATCAGCGCCAACTTGTTAGTTTTATAGCTTTAGATTTATTGTGTCCTTCATTATAAATCTCATTAGGAATTTTTAGCTGTAATTAAAATATTATCTCTAAGATACCAACCCCTCATAAAGGACCAAAATTGCCTATGTTATGTAAAAGAGATGTACTTTTTAAGAGTAGTAGACTACTTCATATTAATAGTGAGCAAAACTGGAAAAAAAAAAATTTACACATAAACCAGATTTGAATATTTTACTAAAAATTTGATCAAAAAAATATTATTTACTCATAAATATTCTCTTTGATACAAAATACTGGACACTATTAATTACCGTTAAAAGAATTAAGAAAAAAGCTAAAAGTGATTTGTAACATCAATGGTCAAAAAAATATCACTGTTTTTGCAAATTACACTCTCTGTTCTAATACTGTAAGAGAAAATAACCAACTCACAATTCAAGATAGTTTGTTAAACATGATAATTATGTCTGAAATTAAAAAAATTCAATAAAATTATTTTTATAATTTACGAAACAAATTTATTTCTTTAAAATAAACTTTGATTTTATGAGAGATAATTTAAAAAAAATTGAGACAAATGCTTCTTGAATTTTGTAATAAAAAAATGAAAACATACAGCAATTTCTCTCTCATAATAAAAACCAGTTGGAATATCCTATATTTTATACAATAAATATGAAAGCGTGTTAATTACAAATATCCAATAACAAAGTCCCAAATGGGGAGAGGAGTGTCGCCTTTTTCCTTATTCTCTATTTTCCTCATTTTCTTCTCATCATGATTAGATCAAATTTTAATGATTCAGATTTGAATATTTAATAAAATTATTATTTTAATTTTAAATGCAATATATAAATAAATCTGAACTACTAAAATTTGATCTGGCACTAATAAAGAAAATTGAGAGTTAGAAAGAAACAAGAAGAGGTGTCCTCGAATGTAGATGGAAGACGTTTGGTAAGCACATGGCCAACTGCTTCGTCAGTCGTAACAATATAATAAGGAGATGCATGTTTGGATAATCAAAATAATAAATTCTAAGGCTAAAATCATGGTTTTATAGAAATATATCTAAATACTTTTTTTACATGTCAAAATTAATTATGAATTTAAAATTCATAGTTTTTTAAAAATATACAAACATTCATTATACTGACAAAATCAATTATAAATTCAAAATCATGATTTTTTTAAAAATATTCCAAACCCTCTATATATACAAAATTAATTATGAACCCAAAAGTATGATTTGTAGAATAGCTATTAATAGATGTTGGCTAACCACGGGCAACTATTGATATTTTAAAAATTTGGTCTAAAGACTAATATAATAAGTTAATAAAACCCACAGATTAGAGGAATAAAAATTAAATTTAAAGGATAAATCAATAATTGAAACAAATATAATAAACATAAAAATTTCATTATTTTTTTCCATAATGATAATACATCAGATAGTCAAAACAACCAGTACAATCAACAAAGAATGCAATTGCAGCAAAACAACTTTCTTCTATGTATGTATGTATGTATGCACCTGACAAAACCTAGTCTTGCCTGGTCTTGAAAAAAATTGGCCCAATACAAAAACTAAAGACCAACCAACCTATACTTTATATTCAGGTTAGACTGAACAAGATATTAAGCTATTAAATCACATGTCTGGTCTATCACAAGAAATTTCTTCTAACATAGTTGAAGTGTTGAACGTTGTCGTTCAAAAAGAAGTTTTCATTTACTTCAATCCCTAGCCTCCCCTTGTACATTCACTTCATACTCTAAATGAGTTTTCCCTACTTAATGTTGTTGGAGATTGTCATAAATTTATGATCGTGTATTAATGTTGTGACAAGTTTTATATGATTATAAATTTTTATTATTTTAATTGATTTTTGCAGATTGAATTAGTGTTGCCCATAAAGAAAGAGGGAAAAAAAGTCAAATTGATATTCTAAACTTCCTGTTCGATCAAGTTCCTTACTCTACAAACAAGTTTGGTCTAGCACAACCTCAAGTTCTTTCTAGACCAAACCACGACTATTTTAACTTTTCATGAAACATACCAAACTTTAGGTTTGAGCTCTGATCCACAGCTTGGTTTATCTATTGTGCAGCCCCATATATTTCCATTGCTAATGGAACTCAAAATTCACACGACTATAAGATTGTGTTCGGTATATATAGATAAAAAATAGTTTTAAGAAAAGGATAATGTGAGTGATAAATTTCTACTGATATGTATTTGGTAGGCCATGATATATATATATATATATATATATATATTGGGAAGCTCCCTTCCATAAGGATTAGCCTTCCATCAAGATATACCGCAAAGGAAATGTTTATTTAATTTCCTTTAAAAATTTCAAGGAAGAAAATGATCTTATTTTTTTTAATAGCTTAATACTAATTATTTCTGTGTTCTGTTAATAAAATATATTCGTGTCATTTACTAATTCTCATAAATTTTATGTTGAAATATTTCTATTGTTTTTTCAGACAAAATATGCAAATTGGTTTTATGAAGACCCACTTTCCTTTTTTCATTGCAATTTCCGTTAGTATTTTACTCATTCTTATAAAAATCTTTTTATTGTACTTTATGCCAAACATATTGACTCTTAGGAAGCATGATCGCTGCTTTGGAAAGGCAACGCATGCATTATTAAACAAATGTTAATTATGCCTCCCTTAGGTTACATGATAGCATCCCCAAATAACATTACTTAAGCCCAATAACTATATAGGCATTATATGTAGTTTTATTTACAATTCCATATGTACTGCATGTTTGGCTATCTGTTAAATAAAATAGCATTTGAAAAACTCAGTTTTTAAAATCCAGCTTTGCAAAAGCAATTTTCGGACATAGGGCTTAATTAATTCAACAGATAAAGATTCAAAGGCTCAAAGCTACATATTCATCTCAAGACAACTACATCACAGTAAAAGCATATTAATTCACTTAATTTTCACACGCGCGCGCGCGCCTTAAATTAATACATGGATAAAAGCATTCGGCACACTTTTGACACATACGATTCCGCAGTGCTGCGTGATGAACTCAACAGCACAGACCTTATTCTTTACTTCATCACACACTACGTACTTTCAACATCAGATTACACCACAATGCATAGCTTATTTTTTAAGTCAGTTTACTCATTAATCTCACACGTACTTTGGATCCATGCATGTTTGACTTGTTCTTGTTCATTATTTTCCCTTTTGTGCACTGAGAAGATAAGCATCAATATCTTTTGTAACGGCAGCTGCCATGTCCAAGTAGCCTTTAGGATCTGAGATTTCATCATGGATCTTCTCATAATGGAAGCTCCACTTTGCAATAGCACCACCTCCTTCCTTGTCGGTGGCTTTTATTATGAACTTGAAACTATTGTGTTGCTCCTTAACATCTCCTTCGAAGAAGTCCACTTTCAGTGATTTGTTCTCTTCATCAATCTCTTCAATTCTCTCCTTGCATGTCACCACCTTACCGTCTGTTAATTTGTCCCCATTTACAAGTAAATTAAATCAGTGTTAACAACAACACTTTACCCTTCATCCAATTGTTAGATTTTAAGCAGAATAGAGCTATAGAAGTTTCCAATGATATATTTAGTACATTAAATTATCAAAATTACTACAACCAACCACGATCAACCAGCAATTATATTGCATGCAGAAAATTGCCAAAACGCTATATTTAAAGCGCTCAATGTAAAAAGTTACTGTTTCCAAACCCCTAATCCGTGCAGTTTTGTGATATTTTGCAGGTTATATGATATATTTCATTGTTATCTAGTTGTTTTCTCAATTTTGCTTTTATTATGATATTTCATTTTTGGGCAATCTCTTCCTAAGAGCTCTTACCGTGCTGTTCTTCCCTTTGGTTCTTGTACCGTGACATCTTTGTTTCAATGAAATTTCTTCTTTGGCCATCGAAACAAGCATGACACTTTAAAGCATCTGCCCCTCAAGTAAAATCTTAATCAGGAGAATATTTTTCAGTCAAACTGATTTGGTACTTTCAACTATATTTACCCATATGATTTATCAGTTAACACCGATCATGACTCAAAAGAAGAAATATATGCAAATTGAAGTATGAGAATTGTCGTCACCATTTCCTTGAAATTAAAATAAAGAACCTTACCAACAGTATAAGACCATTGCTTCACAGATCCAATGGCGTGCCAGTCGTCTCCTTGATGAAGCTCGCCTCCATGAACACTGCCAGTGGCGTTGGGAAGATTGTGAAGTTGCTTAGTGAAGAAGTTGAAGAACTCAATGGCTGGTGACTGTATCTCAATTTCAACCTCCAAATTACCAGTCAGAGCCATAGCTTCTTCAGTCGTACACTGACCTCAAAATCAAACCAAAAAGATAATTTGTATGTTGTAAATCTATCAACTAGGACTAGTGTGGCAAGAGAGCGCTAGCTTCGTTGCCTTATATAGACCATCCATGGTGCCTAGTGTAATTTTAAAATTGATTTTAATGGTTCAGATTTAAAAATTTTGAACTGTAATTTTTTATATTAAAATTATTTTATGTCAGAGTGTTAATTGCATACCTTGCAAATGCCCTCTACATGTGATTTTATATTTTGGAATCATAAAAAAAGACAATTGTTAATGCTTTTAAAAACACTTATTTGGACAAAAATAAAAATGGAAAATGATAAATAAATTCTATCAAAATATAGGAAAATTGCAAATAAGTATCACAAATGCAGAAATTACTTCTGAAGTCCATAAGGACTTCTCTAGCCTAATTTTTTGCAAAATTACATTTCTTTCCCTAAGCAAAATAATAAAAATCATAGTTGTTAATACATAAACTAAAGATGTTAACAACAAAGGTAAAGTTGTGAATATAAAAAGCAGAGATGTTAGTTTAGTTATGCAATGACAAGTACATTTCCTATATTGACAACTTCAACTTCATGATTAAAAACTTTAATTTAAATATTAAAAAGACAATTGGTCATAACTTTAATTTAGTCATATAATAATAACTATGCTTCTTATATTAATAAATTTACTTTTATTATTAACAACTATGCTTCTATTATTTTGTACTGTCAGAAATTTTTTTTTAAAAAAATTATGATAGAGAAGTTCTTAGGAACTTTAGAATAATTATCCCATTTCATGATACTATTTTTTCATTTGCCTATTTTGAGGGGATCTATTTTTCATTTTCTCAAAAAAGAAAATAAGGATATATTATTTTATAAAAATTATATCGGAGTTTAGGTTTAGTAGGTTTAAATTCAAGTTAAAATATTACAAATAAAAACATATCCTAATTTTCGTATTTGGGTCATGACTTAATGCATGAAAGTATAAAAAATTATATTAGTCACGTATAATTTTTCTCAAAAAGAGGGACATTAGCTAATATATTGGTCACGTATAATTTTTCTCAAAATTAGAGGGACATTAGCTAATATATGTGGCTCTCAGTGCATTATCAATATCAACTAATTTTTGTGAATTATTTCTGTTCGGGTCCCTTTTGTGGAGATGACGACCCAACAGCATTGTTGCTTTCAAATCATTTAATTAATCGGACGACACTTACCAGATTAGTTTGAACAAAGCAAAAAAAAAAAAATCCGGGGGGGGGGGGACACAAAAATAAGGCAAGAAGTTACAATAATATCAGGACATGTCTTTAGGCTTAAAAAATACTTACATAAACACTTACAAATCTTCTACTAATAAAATCCTTACAGGTTTAAGGTCTGTTTAAGATTGTTTTTGTTTTATTATTTTGATAACTGCTGTTTTGAAGAATATATTTTGAGAACAAAAAATAAAATAAAATATGTACTTTTTTTCATTCTCCTTTATTCTTCGGAACAATAATCTCAAAGCACTTAAAAGAAGTTTTCATTTTTTTATTCTCCAAAAAAATATTTTATTTTTTTTAAAACACTTTTGAAAACACATTGCTAAATAAATTTTTTTCTTTATTCTGAAAAATAAAAAACTGTTTTTAAAATATGCTGTCAAATAGGTCCTTAGTTTCTTTTGTTTTCTTTTTTTCTTTGGGATAAAGAGGATTAGTTTATTATTCTACTTTGTAATGTTTGATTTTTGGTTGTTTTGGGCTTCGAGTCCAACATATCCCAAAAGAATATCTTCACACTCTCCTCGTTTTAGTAATATTCCATGTTTAACTATATTTAATATATTATCTCAATTTAAAACATATAATTAATTGTACTCTTAATTAAGGGTATTTTAGAAAAAAAAAATCACATTAACTAAATCTTGAAAGATTCAAATTGCCTTACTGATGACTTCCAATATTTTGTTGATTTGTTTGGGCTTTTAATTCAATTGGAAGTAATCTAATTGTTCTCTTTAGCTAAAAAATTGATTAAATTGATCATTTGTGAGGAGAGAGATTGAAATGTTTTAAGGTGGTTTTAAAAGGCTATTAGATTTATGGTTTTTAAAAGCTATTAGATCAAATATCTTATAATACTGGATGGATGAAATATTAAAATTTTTGAGAAAAATACAGCTTTTGCCCATATATGTTAGTGAGGCCATGATGGTATATTTTTTGATGATGATGATGCCTTCACCATATAATTGAAGAAGCAATTGATGATTTGAAATTACCTAAGGGAAAGGTGATGCTAGTTGCTAGTTCGTATGTTGCATATGTATTTCTTAGATGCTAGTTTGCATAAACTAATTAACAAGTGTGGAACTTATTGACGCAATATATAATTACAATTACTAAAATAAGAAATATTTCAAAATATAAATAGAAACCAAAAAAACTCACATTTTTATAAGCCAATCTTTTACCCCATAATGATAATGATTGTTGAGTTTTATTGTTGTTTAAACAGTGAGTGATAGAAATGACTTTGAAAAATGTAAATAAGATAACTTCTATAATTTTAATTCAGTTATATTCAATCTTATAGTCAGCTTGATGCAATTCAGTCCACCAAACTCGATCCCTGCAATAATCCAAATACTTTATAGCTTATCCAATATGGTAGTATTATGTGGGCTAATTATTCCCAAATGAATTATATAATGCCTTATGTTTCGATGGTATATATCAAAACGTCCACATACGATGGCCCCCATCGGACAAGTTTGCTGGCTGGCTGCGAAATTTTCTTTCCTGAGGTTTACTTATGGAGAATCAGGGATTAAGATGTGGGTTCGAGGGTCCTCCACGATCATGTATACATAAAGAAGAACATCACGTCAGCTTCCATCCACATTCGTTTTCATCACTTAACGTTGTAATTATAATTAAAGGATATTTTTTAAAAAAGAAATATAATACTACCTCTGTTTTAAATTATAAGATATTTTTTAAGGAGATTTGACATTCCAGAATATAAGACATTTTGATAAAAATAAGATTTTATTAATAATAATTTTTTAACATTACCATTCTCATTATATTATCTTTTTTAATATTTTTTTGCAAACGGAATATTAAATTAAAGATATTTTTAAAAATTTATATTTTTATTTTAAAAAATAAAATTATAAAATATATTTAATGAATTTTATTAATATATATATATATATATTATTTTTAAAAATGTCATATAAATTTAGATAGAAGGAGTAATGTTTTTAAGAATAGAAACTAATAAAAAAGGAGCAAGACATATTGGTGAGCACGTGGCCAACAGTTTGGTGGCAGTAATAATAATAATAATAATGATAATGATAATAATTCGGCTGCAAACGTAACCCACCTAATTTTAATGCAACTTCTGCCAACGGCCAGGGAGATTGGGTAACAAGAAGTCAAGAACAATTAACGGATCCCACTACTTGACTCCCACACATCTTAAAATATCATAATTAATACAATTACTCAACCAATTCTTATATATAAAATATTTTTAATCACACTTGACATATTAATAAAAAAATTTTATTTAGTTAAAATTACATAAAATTATAATGATTTTTTAATTCTACCTTTAATAATGTCACAATTAATATCATAATGATAATGGTAGATAAAACATTCAATTAATATCTTTTCTATTTTTTAAGACAATTTCAAATTGTCTAATCACACAAAAATATCATGGCATCCTTTATATTTAAGGATAAAATAAATTTTTAGAAAACATTATATATATATATATATATATAAAAACAAAAGGGAGTGAGAATTATGAGTTCTTTATTGACCACTAGAATCTTTAAACACTTAAATTACTGCATCCTTGTTTATTATTTTCATTGTTAATTTTATAATTTATTTGTCTTGACTGTACGTAGAATGATCCTTGTAAATAGAAAGATTTAATATGGTTCATTTTTCTTATTATATGAGTGAATATCTAGCATGTATGTCTAATTATGTGTTTCCTTGTCCAAAAAAAATGTTGACTTATGTGTTAATAATCTTAGAAAAATTAAATACCTTTTGATCAACAAAAGAAAAATTAAATGCCTATGTGCGATGGAAAACATACGCTTGAAATTCTATTTTTTTAATTAAAAAACACTAAAATAGAGGAAGCACTTGAAATGGGTAGTGTGTTATAGATCCCATCGATTAGATAGCAACTTTGATATGCCTTTAGGCCCTTTTTCAAATTTTTGTTTTTATATGTCCTTTGTTGTTGTTAGTTTTTTGCGGCCCATTCTGCTTTAGTAATGGGTCTTTGTTTATAATGGACTAATGGCTTTGAATAAATTGTCCATTTAAAAAAAAGCTGATTTATTTATTTTAATTAATAATTTTATATCCCTTTTATAAGACGGGAAGATATTACTAACTAAAATAGAGAAACGTCTATGTTATCTAAAAGACCTAAGGCCCTATAATGAACCCAAACCATATGGACTCTTCACAAGGCCCAACTAAAAAGGCATGCAATGACCACGTGCATAGAGCAATACGATGTAGTAAGAGAGAGAGAGAGAAGTCATGGAAACTACATGAACTAAAGGAGGCGGAGGGGATATAACACTGTGAAAACCGTTAGTAGTGGTGCGGAATGTTTTGGAATCTTCTCTCTGTGGACTCTCTCTCTCTTCCCTCTACAGTTTCTTTTTGCTTCTTAGCATTTCCTGCTTTCTTCTTCCTGGGAACTCTTAGCTGTAGTTTCATTTTTAGTATGAATGATGTTGTGTAATGCTGAAATGTAATTGCTGATATCCGTTAATAATACTTAGTTCCCAAAATTATCTCATACTTTATAGTGTTCGTTCCATTTGGTGCTTTCATTGAGAGATGGCAGAAAACACGAGACTCAAGGAGTTGCAAGCGGACATGAAGAAGAACAATGAGTTTAGGGAAGATGCAATAGGAAGATTTAAAAGAATCGAGGCTTTGATGGAAGTGCTAATGCGTTCAATTGATAACTTGAACCAACGTTTTGAGCAACCCAGTCCC